CCCCCCACCCCAGCCCTCGCTCGCTTGTAGAGTCAAGGGCACGGCTCTGCCACTGCTGGGGACATGCGGCCCTTGGGAGGGTCCCCCGTAAACCAGGAGGGTCCCCCATAAACCGGGAGTGTCCCCCATAAACCAGATACAGCAGCGACACGTGGTCGTCACTCACAAACTGTCGCTGCATCAACGCGAGGAGCTGAAGCACCAGGAGAGCAAAAACCCTGCGTGCATCTGGCAAGGTGGGGGCGGACAGGAAGGGGGGGCCCAGTAGAGCAATGGGACCCCCCCAGATTATGGCGAGCCGGGAGGAAGGGTCCTGCTGGCAGCAGGGCGCTGGAGCCGCTCTGCTCAGCACCGCGCCTGCCCGCACCTCCCGTCCTGCCCACACGCTGCCTGCACCTCTGCCTGCAGAAATCCTGCCTGTGCGCCTACGCCAGGCTCACAGCACTGCTGCCAGCTCCCTCCTCACAAACCCCGATCCATGACTTAATGACTATTACTCCAATCCCTTCCCCTAAATCCTTTTACTGTTTAATCTTTTCTTGGCTGTCAAGGGATGGGCAAGCTCATTATCTGCCAAGGCACCCTGAAAGCTGCACCCAGCATGCACCCAGAGCCAGGACTCCGCACAGGGTGAAAAAAAAAAGAGGAAAAAGAGGAAAACTCCAGGTGTCATCTCCGCCCACCTCATCCACACCTCTTCTCCTGCATCTCAGCCAAGGAGGGTGGCACAGGCTCCCGGGATGAGGCAGAACGGGGTGTTGGGGCACTCAGCACCCATCGGGGAGCAGGACCCGCGGCTCCCGCTTTCCAGGCAGACGCAGCCCAGCCAGTTCCTCCAAGGCCACAACAAAACCAAGAACCAAACTGCTGTGAAAACCTGGCTGGGAACAGCGGCGTGGGTGATGGAGAAACCTGCCTGTCCCCTCCACTGCCGCAGCCCTGCCCGGGCGCGCGGGTGGCAGCTGCCCAGGGCGCTCGCAGGAGCGTGGCCCTGAGATGCAGGGGGTTCCCAGCGACGAGCTCCTGCATCCCCAGCGAGTCTCCCTGGAAGGGCTGTTCCCATCGCAGCCATCTGCAGCCAGCTCACGGCTGCTGGTGACCGAGCGAGTCACAGGCTGGCAGAAGAAAAGTGAATCAGGCAAATATCTGGTCCCCGGGCTAAACCAGGACACTGAGCCAACAACCCTGACTCAGCTGATGGCTCGTGGTTTGCATAATTGATCTCTAGGATGCTAAAAGCCATGGCAATGAATCATGAGGGGCTGTGTGCTCCCTGAGACTGCAGAAAAAGTTCTCTCCGACTGCAAAAAAAGCTCCGTCCAGATAGACATTGCCTTGCTGCCCCAGAAAACGCATCAGTAAACACAAATCCAGTGGATACGTACTTGGAGTGCAGCCAGAAAACACGCGGAGGCAGCGCCTGCCAGGCCTCTCCATCATTAGGAACCAGGAAAACCTCCTTAACAGACCCCAACGAAAACTTTATTACACTTGCTGTGTTGCTCAGATGTTTTAAACCTCACTGAGACAGCCCTGAATAGAAGAACAGACTTCAAAGTCAGGGCAAAAGGCACCTTTAAAATGCATTCTGCATTCCCACCGGAAGGTTCTGCAGCCGCCGTTCTCACAGACTTAAGCCCATCCTGGTTTCTAACCCAAGCAATGAGTAATTACTTCTTGAATAACGAGCAGTCAGCACGCAAACCACCTCTCCTTGCTGTGGATGTCTGCAGGGCGGGGAGAGAAGCCGCGATGGTGCGTGTGACCATTTCTTCACGAAAATTAGAAGAACCACCCACCCAGGTCTCCCAATTTTGTGATTCACTTGCTTTCTGAACCTGAGACAGTTCAGCTGCTCCACTCCCTCCTGCCTTCAGGCAGCCTGCCCGCTCAGCCAGTCCGAAAGCTGAGGAACTGGAATATACTGGGAGACACGCGCAGGTGAAGGACAGTTCAGGAACTTGCCTGCGATTTTGGTAAAAGTTGAGGGTGGAGATTTTCTACTCTGAAGAGAAACGTGCAGGCAGGGCAGTCTGGCACCGCAGTAACGGGCACTTTGTGCGTGTGCACGGTCCTGGTTCCGCCTGCCTTCCTCGGGCTGCAGTGAAACACAACCACCGCCAAGCAGCTTTCCTCAGGCCACCCCTCGCTCCCTTAAATGAATCAGAAAAACTTGGCAGCAGCCCGGCAAAGGCTCCGCGCCCTTTTCATCCCACAGACAGCAACCAAGTGAAGCAGCACTGATCCCCCGCGCAGCCCTGAATGCCAAAGCCGCCGAGAACAACCCCTCCACTATCCGCAGCCTCTGGTTCGGCTCACGCTTTGTGCACAGCCTGAGTCACGCTCCTCTCCCTCCCTGGCTCACCCGCGCACGCAGCCTGAGCACAGGATATCTGGCCGGTACATTCAGCTCAGGCTTACGTAGCTAACGGCTTTTTTCCTCTTTTGGTTTTCCGCTTTTGTTTAACAGACGTTGATCTATTTTTAAATCTATTCTGTTAAGAATTAGCATACCGGCAAGCGATGCTGCCACTGGCGCACCGGAAAACACGTGCCCCGCATCGGGGTTACAGAAGTAAAAGCTGGTGAGGCTGCTCCCGTCACTGACGGTTCCATATTTGCAGCTTCTGCTCATTTCCTTGCACAGAATTATCTTCCTCTGGCAGATGACTGAAGATCCTTCAGCAAGAACGAGACAGAATTACAGCCTCCACCGTCTGAGACAGCAAGAGGAAAACAGCTCCAGCAATCTGGAACGGGCGTGAAGCCTGAGCACAGCCCCCTCCCCGGGGCCAGGGGACTGGCTGAAATTTTGTCCCCAAGAATAATGCATCCAGGCCACCTCTCAGCTGCGCGTGGAGCAGCCGTCCCCCGGCTCCGCGGCTTTTGCCTTACGGCTCCCAACCCACGAAGGGTGAAGCTGCAGCTGGGAGACGGAGCGCCTGCTCCTGCCGGTACCCCGAGCCTGGGAGATGCTGTGCCAGCCCCTGCCCCTGCCCCTGCCCCCAGGTGCACACAGCGTGGGGGGCAGCGGTTCCCCAGCGGCCCTGCGCGACAGCTCGGCGGCTGCGGCGCTGACAAGCAGCCATTATGCCGGGGCCTCCCGAGCACAGCGCTTCTCCCCGCTGCCACCCCCAGCCACCGGCGGAGGAAAGGGCACACACTGCTGCAAAACAGCCCTGTGAGGACAGGCGCTTAACGTCTACATTGCCCAAGGTAGGGCGATTTAAGAGCCCAGGGTGCCTCCTGCACATGACAAGCTCCCGGGGAGTCCCTTCCCTCCACCATTTCAGAGACCCTGAAGAGATGCAGCCGAGGCCCCGGCAAGGACAGAGCCGGGCGCAGTCAGGCAGCGGGTTTGGCCCGGCTGTCTCCAACATCCTGCTCTCCACCAGCCGCCGCGGAAAAACAGCTTTTGCCAGAGATCATCCCCTCGGCCCGACCACACTGCGAGCTTTGTGCGCAGGCTGCAGCCAGCTCCCTCGCTGCAGTGCCAGCCGGGCCTCGGGGAGCGGCTCATCCCGGGGTGCAGGGGCTCAGGCGGGTGACCACGGAGTCCGAGGCAACACGCTGCCCTGAGCAGAAGCTTTGGCAGAAACGATCCTTGTACCTGCTAGGAAAGCCTTTATCTCCCCTATTCCCCTCCCCAGACATCATCCCCCAAAGTAAAAATGCCTCTACCATCCCTTCTTATAAGGGAGGGATTATTCCTCGAGCTGCAATGATCAGAAGCCTGAACTGAGCGTTCTCTCCACCAAAGCAAACAAACCCGCGTCTCACACGGGGATGGGTGGGCACCCAGATCTGCCCCAACAGCCAAACAACCCCCCAGGAGACGCAGACCACAGCACCCTGTTACTGCCCAGGTCATGCAGCTCTTGGGCCTCCGCATGGGGAGGACGCGGGGTCTGGCTCGAGCCAGCTCGCTCCGAGGCAGGCAGCGAGGTACCGGCTCAAGAAAAGCACAAATATTGCACGTCACAAGCCAGGGGCCAGGCAGCTGCCAGAGGCAGTCAGGTAAGAGAAGGCAGAGGATGCTCAGGGCAGTTGGTCCAGGACCCCCGTCCCAGAGGTGCTGCCCTCCTGCAGACACCCCCGGGGGCTCGCAAACGTCCTGACACTGCCCAGCCACAGAGCGGGCCCCTGCCCTGCCCCGATAACCCCCAGCCACTGCCGCAGAGATGCCGGAGCTTCAAAGCCTCCTCTCGACAGCACAAAACCAGACATAAACACCAAGCTCAGCCACAGACACCAACTGTCCTGGAGCGAAGGGTACGAGGAGAGGGGGAGCGGGTGCCAAGAGGCCGGGGGTTACGGGGGACCCGGCTCAGCACAGCAGCCAGTGCGAGACACGAGGACAAACCAGCGCTGGAGTGAGAGCACGGCCCCTCGCCCAGCCACAGCTCCCAGCGCCGGCATTTGAACCATCTAGGCCATCAACCACAAAAAATGTGGCAGGCGCTATTCCAAACGAGCAGCTTCTCCTTGACCCCACCCCGCCGCTCCGCACCCCGCGCCCAGAAGCAGGAGGTGCCCGGTGGCTCCTTACCGCGGGTCCCGGCTT